CGCCAGCAGTGGAGCGCGCTCACTTAACCACCAAGCCACGGGGCCGGCCCTATATTTATTCTTTTTATCTTCCCATCTAAAATCATAGAGCTAGAGAGGCATCTTGGAGATTATCTATTTCAACCCCTTTATTTATAGATGAGGAAGCTAAAGATCAGGAAGGTTGTGAGTTGTCTTTTCTCATAGCTGGTTACTGGCAAAGCTGGAGCTAGAATCCAAGTTTACTAACATTTAGCTCACGTTTTTAAAAATGCCATTCTTTATAAGTTATAATTCCCTACTCTAGACCATGGGAAACAACACTGGGCACTCAAAAATAATTGTAGGGGGCCGGCCCTGTGGGTTAGTGGTTGGGTGCGTGTGCTCTGCTGCTGGCGGCCCGGGTTCGGATCCCGGGCGGGCACCGACGCACTGCTTCTCCAGCCATGCTGAGGCCACGTCCCACATACAGCAACCAGAAGGATGTGCAGCTATGACATACAACTATCTACTGGGGCTTTGGGGAAAAACAAAAATAAATAAATACAATTATAAAAAAAAAAAATAATAACTATGCTGTAAAAAAAAAAAATTGTAGATTGTCAGAACCATTAGTTTCAAATCAAATTTATTTATTTATTTATTTATTTATGAGGAAAATCAGCCCTGAGCTAACATCTGCCAATCTTCCTCTTTTTGCTGAGGAATACTGGCCCTGGGCCAACATCTGTGCCCATCTTCCTCTACTTTATATGGGATGCCACCACAGTGTGGCTTGCCAAGCGGTGCATCACTGCACACCTGGGATCTGAACCAGTGAACCCCGGGCCACCACAGCAGAGCACATGCACTTAACCGCTTGCGCCACCGGGCTGGCCCCTCAAATCACATTTAATAAGGAACTCTCTGTGAATTACGTTCTATTGTACTCTAGTAATTGATCCTGTTACCTTAATGTAGCCATATAACTATTCTAATTTAAATTCAGTTCTCTATTTTATGTCCATCTGAGCAGCAGGTAGGCTGTCACCAAATAGGACCACATCATTCCCAGTTTAAGTGCATGACATTTTTTAGGGGAAAAAAATCCCTGTCCCTTTCCTTCTTTACCTATGTGTGGCAGCAATGGATCTGGAACTTGAGATCATCAAGCAGACAATAAGATGGAAAATGCTTGTCTAATAAATTATTTTGTTATAGCATCATTAAGTTCTTTGGAAATTCAATGCTGCTTTAAATTCATACCCCTAATTCTTTGTAACATGCTTAAATGTGAGCTGTGATAAACTAGACAGAAGTCGATTTTCTCTGTTAAAGAATATTATAAGCCCTTCATTAAATATAGCATCAGCATAGCAAACTTAAATCACAACTATTACTTTTTATAATTATTTATATCCTATTTTCTATAGCATCTGAGCAAAAATATTCCATTTCCAGGTTTAATTTATGTAGTTGGGGGCATCAGCAATGAAGGAATAGAGCTTCGTTCTTTTGAAGTTTATGATCCACTTTCCAAGCGTTGGTCTCCACTTCCTCCAATGGGAACCAGGAGAGCATATCTTGGAGTGGCTGTACTCAATGACTGCATCTATTCTATTGGCGGGTGGAATGAGACACAAGGTGCTCTTCATACTGTAGAAAAATATTCCTTCGAAGAGGTAGGTTGGATGGTTTCAAATATTTAGTAGTATCCTGTTATTCTTTTAATGTCTGTAAGACCTGTAGTGATATGCATTCTGTCATTCATGATATTGATCATTTATAGGTTTTTTCTGTCTTTTTTCTTTTCAAAGAACCAACTTTTGGTGTCATTGATTTTTTTTATTGATTATCCATCTTTTATTTCATTGATTTCTGTTCCTCTTTTTTTTTTCTGTTTGTTTTGGGTTTAACTTGCTCTTCTTTTTCTAGATTCTCAAAGTGGAAGCTTAGATGATTGATTTTAGACCTTTCTTTTTCTATGATGTAAACCTTTAAAGTTATAAATCGTTTTCAAGCACTGCTTTAATTGCATCACACACATTTTGATATGTTGTGTTTTAATTAGCATTTATCTCAAAATATCTTATTATTTCCCTGGTAATTTCCTCTTTGACCAGTGGGTTGTTAGAAATATGTTATTTAACTTCAAAATATTTGGAGATTTATTGATTTCTAATTTAATTCCATTTGATGAAAGAGCATACTTTGAAAGATTTCTGTCTTGGGAAATGTTTCATGTACACCTGAAAAGAATTTGTATTCTGCTGTTGTTGAGTGTAGTCTTCTATTAATGTCAATTAATAGAAGGTTGGTCAAGTTGGTTAGTGTTGTTCAAGCTTTCCCTGGTCTTTCCAACTTGTCCAATTGTTGTGTCAATTACTAAGAAAGAAGTGTTGAAATCTCCATCTGTAACTGTGAAGTTGTCTGTTTCTCCTTTCATTCTGTCAGGTTTTGCTTCACATATTTTGAATCTCTGTTGTTAAGTGTGTATATATTGAGATTATTGTGTCTTTTTGATGAATTGATTTTTTTATAGTTATGAAATGTTTTTCTTTATCTCTGGTAATATTCTTTGTTCTGAAGTCTACTTTGTCTGGTATTAATGTAACCATTAATGTAGTCAAGCTAGCTTTTGATTACTATTTTCATAGTATATCTTTTTCTTTCCTTCTACTTTAAATCTATCTATGTCTTTACAAACTGCATCTTTTGTAAGATAAGATATAGTTGTGGTCTGTTTTGTTTTTTTTTTTTTTTGCTGAGGAAGACCGGCCCTGAGCTAACATCTATTGCCAATCCTCCTCCTTTTTTTTCCCCAAAGCCCCCCAGTAGATAGTTGTATGTCATAGTTGCACATCCTTCTAGTTGCTGTATGTGGGACACGGCCTCAGCATGGCCGGCGAAGCAGTGCGTCGGTGCGCGCCCGGGATCCGAACCCAGGCTGCAAGTAGCAGAGCGTGCACACTTAACCGCTAAGCCACTGGGCCGGCCCATGTGTGGTCTGTTTTTTAATCCAGTTTGACAGTCTCTGACTTTCAAATGGAGTCTTTGGAGTTTTTACTATTTATATGTAATGTAATTGTAGATATGGTTAGGTTTTAGTCTCCGATTTTGCTGTAATTGTAGATAAGGTTGGGTTTTAGTCTCCTATTTTGCTGTTTTTCTATTTATACAATCTATTCTTTGATCCCTTTTTTCCCTCTTTTCTGTCTTCATGTTGATTGTTTTAGCATTCTATTTTACCTCTTTTATTGTCCAATTAACTGTATCTCGTTTCCTTTTTCTTGTGGTTGTGTTAGAGTTTACATTATATATTAAATGTATTTACATTATATATATTTTTAATGTATCAAATCTACCTTCAAATAATATCATACCACTTCACTTTTAATGTAAGAAACTTACAAAAACATATTTTCATTTCCTCATCCCATCCTTTGTGCAATTGTTGTACATTTTATTTCTATGTAAGTCCTAAACCCAAAAATACAGTGTTGTTATATTTGCTTAAACAGTCAATTGTATTTAAAATAAATTTTTAGTGAGAAAACCTTTGATATTATGCATATTACCATTTCTAGCTCTATTCATTCTTTTGTGTAGAACTAAGTTTCTGTCTCATATCATTGTCTCTTAGCCTGTGGAACTAACTTAATATTTATTTTAGTGCTAGTCTGCTGGCAGTGATTCTCTTAGCTTTCATTTTCTGAAACTCTTTTTTTCCACCTTGTTTTTGAAAGGTATTTTGCTGAGGATAGAATTTTAGGTTACTTTTTTTCTCCGATCATCTTAAAAGAGTTGTTTACTTATCTTCTTGCATTGTTTCTGATGGGAAGTCAGTAGTCATTCTTGTAGTCGTGTATGTAATGTATCTTTTTTTCTTTGGCGGCTTTTAGGATTTTCTCTTTATTGTGGGTTTCTAGTAATTTGATTATGGTGTGTCTTGGAGTTTTGTTGTTTAAACTGCTTGGAATTCATTGAACTTCTTGAATCTGTGGAATTATAGCTTCCATCAAATTGGAATGTTTTTAGTCATATTTCTTCAAATATTATCCTGCTCTCTTTCTGGGACTACAATAATATGCATGTAAGACCACTTGATATTGTTTCACAGGTCAGTGAGGCTGTTAATTTTTTTTCCCGTCTTTTTACTATCTCTCTGCTTCAGTTTGTTTTTGTTTTTCAGCTTTATTGAGGTATACTTGACAAATAAAAATTGTATATATTTAGTGCTGCCACCATGGAAAACAGTATGGAGATTCCTTAAAAAATTAAGAAGTACCGTATGATCCAGCTATTCCACTTCGGGATATCTATCTGAAGAATACAAAAACACTAATTCAAAAAGATATAGGCATCCCTATGTTCACTGCAGCATTGTTTACAATAGCCAAGATATGGAAACAACCTAAGTGTCCATCGATGGATGAAAGGATAAAGAAGATGTGGTATATATACACAATGGAATACTACTCAGCCATAAAAAAAAGAATGAAATCTTGCCATTGGCAACAACATGGATGGACCTTGAGGGTGTTATGCTAAGTAAAATAGGTCAGATGGAGAAAAACAAATACTGTATGATTTCACTCATGTGGAATCCAAAAAGAAATAAAACAAATGAACAAACAAAACAAAACAGAAACAAACTCATAGATACAGAGAATAGATTGGTGGTTACCAGAGGAGTTGGGGGTGGGTGAAATGGGTGAAGGGCATCAAGTGTATACTGATAGATGGTAACTAGACTTTTGGTGGTGATCACTTTGCAGTGTATACAGATGTCAAATTATAATGATGTACACCTAAAACTTATATAATGTTATATACTAATTTTACCTCAATTTAAAAAAATTGTATATATTTAATGTGTACAATGTGATGTTTTGATATACATTATGAAATAATTACCACAATCAAGCTAATTAACATATCTATCACGTCACATAGTTCCCTTTTCCTTTTTTTGTGTGTAATGAGAGCACTTAAGATCTGCTTTCTTAGCAAATTTCAAGTATATAATCAGTATTATTAACTATAGTCACCATGTTGTCTATTAGATCTCCAGAATTTATTAATCCTGTGTAATTGAAACTTTATTCTCTGTGCTTCAGTTGGATACTTTCTCTTGCTATGTCTTCAAGTTTGTTAATGTTCTGCAGTGTCTAAGCTTCTAATTTGCAGTGTCTAATCCCATTTAGGGAATTTTTCAGATATTATATTTTTTACTTCTAGAAGATCGTTTTGGTTTTTTTTTTAATGTCTTCCATTTCTCTCCTCATCATGTTCATGTTTTCCTTTAGATTCTTTTTTTTTTTTTTAAAGATTTTATTTATTTATTTTTTCCCTCCAAAGCCCCAGTAGATTGTTGTATGTCATAGCTGCACATCCTTCTAGTTGCTGTATGTGGGACGCGGCCTCAGCACGGCCAGAGAAGCGGTGCGTCCGTGCGTGCCCGGGATCCAAACCGGGGCTGCCAGCAGCGGAGCGCACGCACTTAACCACTAAGCCATGGGGCCGGCCCTAGATTCTTGAATATATTTGTAATATCTGTTTTAAAGTCCTTGTCTGCTAATTCCATCATCTCTGTCATTTTTGGATCTGTCTGTTGAAATTTTTTCTTCCCAGTTTAAGTCACATTTTTCCTACTTTTCACATTTCTAGTAACGTTTGATTAGATGCTGGACATTGTGAATATTATGTTGCTGAGTATTTGGATTTTGTTTTCTTCCTTTAAGAAGAGTTTAGTTTTGGTAAGCAGTTAAATTATTTGTAAATCAGATGGATTCTTTTGATACTTGTTTTTAAGCTTTGTAGGGAAGGTTTAGAGTTGCCTTTCCTTTAGGTCTAGTTTAGCCCTACCACTAAAGCATGACCCTTCTTGAGTCTCAGCTGAATATCCTAGCTGTTCAACAAGGTCTCTTCATTTTGTCTGGTCAGAACTGGAATATCATCCAGCCTTATGTGAGCTCTGGGAATTGTTCAGTTTATAACTTCTCTAAAGGAAAACTGTTTCTCTACTTACAATACTTTTGACAACAAATGTGTAGGTTTTCTACATCAAGCTGTTCTACAGTTCTCTGTGGACACCAACTCATTGTCCTACAAGTCAATTCAGTTCTGACACCAGTTACCCTACAGGTTAAAGGTTCAGTGCCAAAGACTGCCCCCAACTTTAGACACCAATCTCAAGTAGTGGGTCCTTAGGTTAACCACTGACTTGGTTACGTTGTCTGAGTTGGCTCCAAATCAGAGATTCCCATGATCCATTCCTCAGGTTCAATAATTTGCTATAATAGCTCACAGAACTCAGGAAAACACTTTATTTACTATTACTGGTTTATTATAAAGGATATTATAAAGGATGCAAATAAATAGCCAGATAAAGAGATACATAGGGTGAGGTCCAGAAGGATATCAAGTGCAGGAGCTTCTGTCTCTGAAGAGTTTGGGGGGGTGTGCCACTCTTTTGGCACATGTATGTGTTCACCAGTCTGGAAGCTCTTGGAACCCCATAGTTTAGGGATTTTTATGGTGGCTTCATCATATAGGCATGATCAATTATTAATTCAACCTCTAGCCCCACTCTCCTCCCCGAATGATAAGGGTTGGAGCTGAAAGTTCCAAGCTTCTAATCCTGGTTTAGTCTTTCTGTCCCCATCCTGAAGCTATTCAG